GCGGCTGCTATGGGATTGAAAGTAGGGGATTGATTCATCTTGAACTTTTGGCGGTCAAAACGTGGCGGCTGGAGCGGTGCAGGAACGGCGTGCTTGGCGCGAGCTGTCAGGCCGTTCGCCGCTGTCTTGTGTCAGCAGTCGGCAACAGCGTCCACCGAATCTAGACTCGTCCCATGTAAAGGATGCAGCCCATGTGGGTTAGCTAGTACCTAGTACCGAGGATACACTGCACTAAGCGTTTGCCCGTCTGCACCATCTCGGCGGAAAGCGTCGGGATGCTTCGCCATTGGTCACGCCGACAAAAAGCAGGCGCAGGGAAGGGGACTCCTGCGATGCACGTGTCGGTCAAGAATGGGACACGACGTCCGCTGACCCCTGACAATCCCGCCTTTCCAGGGCGGCCACCGGGCTGTCTAATCAGCGGGCGGGCTGTTACTCGATTTTTACTCGATGGAAATCCGTTAAAGGGCCGCCAGAAGAGTCGAGAATGGAGTCAGAAGCTCGCCGAAAGCGGAATGCGAGGTCTGGGTATGTGTGATTGGCTGGAGAAGATGCAAGGCCCGATTCTGGACTTTTTTTTTCGCTGCTACAGGAAGGGTTTGGGGTTCCATCCCAGGCAGGTGGGTGCGCCCCGCCGCAGTCCGATCTGAGCCAGACCGCTGGGGCGCTGGCCAATCACGGACGACTGATAAGACGGGGTTCAGAGCGAGACGGTCAGTCACCGATCTCTGCGGCTCCCCCCTGTTTCTAACGCTCCCTCGTGTTTCTGACCGTGCCCGATAGGATGAGCTCGAAATGAACGGGTGCCGGCATCTTGCGCAGCAGGAGCTAAAGGTAGGCACGGAAAGCCCAGGGCTCGGAGGCTTCGCATGAGAAAGCATGTGTCGGGCCCTGGTCGCCGAGCAAATGGCGATAGCGCCGGGGCGGGAGACCGGACTGGGAGCCTTGCAGCACTGGACTTGCAGCACTGGGGCCTTCCTCTTTGTTCTGGAATCGAGCCGCTTCCCACGCCGGCACTCCCGCGGACTGCTCAATCCCAAATCGTCCATCGCCCCTGACTCGTCCGCCACAAAACCCGGGCGAGCTGCCTTGAGCTGCCTTCCCTTTGTTTCCAGATCCCGCCCTTCCGGATTCTGCCTCGAATTCCGAACAGCCGCCTCTGTCTGTACTGTGTACATACCTACACCCGAGATAGCATCGTGCCGTGTGTGGCGAACAGAAGCCGTGCCCCCTTTGTCATACTCGCTTATCAGTAAGCTCCCGCACACACTTCTCTCGCAGCCATCGTCCAAGAGATAAGCTCACGCGTGCCCAGACCACCGTATCGTCGGCTTACTGTGTAGGGGGCGTGCCGTCGGGTCCAGTTGGGCTGTTATCGCGGCCAAATCGACCTCGCAGCCACCAACCTTGCCAGAAATCCCCCACCAAACCAGAGCCCTCCCGCCTTCCCCAGATTCTCCCACCCCGTTTTTAGAAGCAAACTGCATAGCACTCCCGCCAGACTACAACCCCTTCCCGCAGCGATGGGCTCCGTAGTGGTCTTCGACGAGGCTCCGCCCGCCGACGCCGGGCCCCTGACGGTCCTGGTGTCCACGCGGGCCGTGCTGACCCTGCCCGACGGCTCGCTCGTCCTGACGCCGGCCACCATCGCCGTGTCGGCGCGGACCGGCAAGATCGTGTCGGCAGTGCCGGCCGTGCTGCCCGCGAGCTCGTTCCCCGAGTCGACCACGTACGTCGACCACTCGCCCAGGCTGCTCCTGCCGGGCCTTGTGGACGCGCACGTGCACCTCAACGAGCCCGGGCGCACCGAGTGGGAGGGCTTCGCGACGGGCACGCGCGCCGCCGCGTCGGGCGGCGTCACCACCGTCGTCGACATGCCGCTCAACGCCATCCCGCCCACCACGACGCTGCACGGGTTCCGGGAGAAGCTGGCGGCGAGCGAGGGCCAGTGCTGGGTCGACGTCGGCTTCTACGGCGGCGTGGTCCCCGGCAACAGCGCCGAGCTGCTGCCGCTGGTCGAGGCCGGCGTTCGCGGCTTCAAGGGCTTCCTGATCGAGTCGGGCGTCGACGAGTTCCCGGCCGTGTCGTCCACCGACATCGCGCTGGCCATGGAGACGCTGCGCGACCAGCCCACGACGCTCATGTTCCACGCCGAGATGATCCCGCCCATCACGGACTCGGTCGGCGACGCGGTGCAGACGTCGGGGCCGCCGCTGGCGCCGACGGGCGAGGCGACGGCCTATAGCACCTTTCTCGAGTCGCGCCCGCCCGCCTTCGAGACGTACGCGGTCGAGGAGATCCTGTCGCTCGCCCACCTGGCGCCGTCGCTGCACCTGCACATCGTGCACCTGTCGGCCACGCAGTGCATCCCGCTGCTGCGCGAGGCGCGCGCGCGGGGCGTCAACATCACGGCCGAGACGTGCTTCCACTACCTGGGCCTCGCGTCGGACGACATCGAGGACGGCGACACGCGCCACAAATGCTGCCCGCCCATCCGCAGCCGCGTCAACCAGGACGGCCTGTGGAAGGAGCTGGCCGACTCCGAGGGCGGCGTCATCCGCACCGTCGTCAGCGACCACTCGCCCTGCACGCCAGAGCTCAAGCTACTGCCCAACCACCTGCAGCAGCCGACCGTGGTGGACGATGTCGACGGCGCCGCCCTCTCGCCGTCGCTGAGCCGGAACCCGCACGACTCGGGCGTCGACGTCTCGATGCCACAGGAGGAGGCCGCGGCTCTGGACGACAAGACGGCCACGAACCAGGGCGACTTCTTTGCCGCCTGGGGCGGCATCTCGTCGGTGGGGCTGGGCCTGCCCATCCTGCACACGGCGGCCGCCCGTCGCCGGAAGCAGCAGCAACAGCAAGCCAACTCCTCCACCATAGCACCACCACCCTCCATCCTCGACATCGTCCGCCTCTGCAGCCAGGCGACGGCGCGGCAGGTGGGGCTCTCGCACCGCAAGGGCGGGCTGGCGGTGGGCATGGACGCCGACGTGTGCGTCTTTGACGACGCGGCCGCCTGGACGCTGCGGGCAGGTGAGATGCGGTGGAGGAACCGCTGCTCGCCCTGGGAGGGCCACGAGTTCGTCGGGCGCGTGTGCGAGACGTGGCTGCGCGGCCAGAGGGTCTTTGAGCTGGGCGGGCCCAACGCCGGCTTCGTGGGGCTGCGGCCGATGGGCGTGCCGCTGATCGAGAAGAGGGTTGCGTGACGGAGGGGAGGGGGAGGAGGATAGAGTTTTTTTCTGGTGCTGCACGATCCGGGGCGTTTCGTCCGAACCATGCGGCCGTTGCGGCGAGACTTTGGGTCACTCCAGGTTCACGTGAGTTGATGACGCCAGTGTGCTGATCATCTTGGCACTTTTCATTGGATTGG